ATAACGCCCCCACGGCTGAAAGGGCGAGCATGTTTGGTGGGATGCGGATTCGAACCCGCGACCCTCAGATTGTGAGTCGAGCGCCTTATCCACCTGGCCATGCCGGGCCCCACCGCGATAAACGATCACCTATAACAAACTGATATGTCATGTTTTCTTTCCTTACACGTGGTACAGTAACGGGTAGCATGTAACATTTTACAAACCCATTTTTCATTGCTTACAATGTAACGATGAACGGCAGTAATCTGTCTGCAATTCATTGTTTACGTGTGATAATAAACAGTAACATGAATTTTTTTTTTAAATTGACTTTCATTATTTTGGGTACAATAATAAATGTGAAATTTTTAAGCGTCGAGTTTTTTGTTTTGTTTACATGTGCAACTGGTTCGTGAGTGCGCTAAAAAGAGTGACTGTTAATCTCCACTATCTGACAGACAAGGGAAGTCCAAGAGTTGGCGGTGGGTACTGTTGAATAACGTTAAAACAGTGACTGTTAATCTCCACTATCTGACAGACAAGGGAAGTCCAAGAGTTGGCGGTGGGTACTGTTGAATAACGTTAAAACAGTGACTGTTAATCTCCACTATCTGACAGACAAGGGTAGTCCAAGGGTTGGCGGTGAATACTATTGAATAATTATCTTCCCTCTAGTCCGTTAGTTTGAAAGTAGGGACGGCTAAGTGTAGCTTTGCGCGAAAGTTCTAAAAGAAAATAAGAAATATGCAACACTAATGGGTAATATTTAACATTTTTAACTATTCGGCTTTTATTAATTGTATATAAACAAGCAAGCTGTAAAAGGTAACATTTTCATTTTTTTACAACCCTTACTATAAGTTTGTCAAATTTGAAAAGAAAAACCTATGCAATGTTCTTTAATAAAAACAAAATACCTGAACTCCAAAAAAAGAAAAAAGAATCAGATGGGAACGAAACAGATGCTTTGAATTGAGTATATTCACAACTTCCTTGTTGAAGTTGAACATCAGAAAGTTAATTTTTTGATATTTGTCAGTAATAACACAATGATATACAAATGTTCAAGCTCAGTAATAGGAAGGCATACTTCTAATATTTGTCAGTAAAAATATATCAGGATTCAAGCTATAATAGAAATATAGTGTACGATATTTGTCAGCAACTATTAATATGTGTTATATGATTACAATATTATAATAAACATTATAAAAAGTAGCACATAATACCAATACAATACACCAAATAAAAATTATTCTGTTT